GCCAGAGACAATGTCCTAACCAGCCTCTTTCTTTGCCTTGACTGTGACTATTTTAGTTAATATTTTATGAAACTAATTCTCCAAATTTCATGTTTATGTATAAGCTGCCTTATTACCTTCTAATAAATTTCTTTTCTCTCTATATTAGCCAAAGCAAGTTTTTGTATTTATAACCAAGAATTTTAAATTGTATAGTATATGATGTCTGGTTTAGGAAATCCATGATGCAGCAAAAAAATGTAACTGACTTCTAGTTGTATAATCTGAGCATGCATCTTGGCTCTTCCACTTAACTAGCTATGTATTTTAAGGCAAATCTTTTAATCTTTAAGTGCCTTCCGATAGGAGACAATAAAGCCTTCCCTAAATAACTGGTCTTGTGAGTTTTCTTTAAAATCTCTTCTCCTTGATTTGTGTATAAATTCTATGAAAATAGGCCCTATTTATGAGCAATGTTCATAGATTTGGTTCCAAGCTGCCCCACTTCTTTCTCTCACAAATGATATTTTTATACAGTATTTAGTAATTAAGTGTACTCTCTCTTTTCTGAACTTTCCTCTCTAATAACTTCCATCTCCCATACGCAGCTGTTTGCTTCTGCCTCTTATCCTATGACTTGGAATGATATGATTGTATGATAAGTATGATACATTCCTTCCAAGAAAAGTATGCCCAACCATGGAGTCACCAGCAGCAAATGGCCTCTTGGTTTGCAAAACCATGGAACCCCCCTCCTCATGTTCTACTTTAAATTGTGAGCATCCTCACATTTCCACTTTGCAGAGTACAATAAGTGTCAGAGAAGATAATTCATGGGTGAGAAAGCTGACTGATCTGCAAAATATTGTGTGGTGACTGCTATCCAACAATGGGTCCCCAAAAACTTAAACTGCCAGTGTAATGACCCCCACATAGAATATGGTCTGGAGTATCATTTGATTACATCCAGAATCCAGACTCCAGACTTTTTCCCTCTCTATCTGAATGCATTTCCATTTTAAACATTTACGAGCAATAGGAAAACACACCTGAAAGCCACCATGCCTGGAATGTTGGCTCTTAGTTGGGAGTATTCTTAGTTGAAGGAATTGATTCACAGATAAGTATGAACAGTAACGAAGGTAAGATTAACAACATGCATGAAAAATGTACAGAGATTTTCCTGCCTTGCCAAAAATATCCTACCTGGCCTCTATCTGTCTCTGACTCCAGCTCCAGGGTAACTAGGTTCCAAAGGACTCCTCTCCAGAGGAAACAGAAGGTCTTTGGCTGATGAACTTGTATTCCCAGCTCACATTCCCAGAAATATCACCTTAAGAAACTTAAACCCTCCACCAGCATTTAAGACGAATCCTAGCTAGATAAATATTTTAATATCTTACTACCATATTCTTGCTATTAGGTCAGTTAATGTCTCTGAGCCTTAGTCTTGAAGGAAAATAGTACCTGCTATTGCAGATAATCAAGAAAATTAAATAGTGAATGTCCATGAAAGAGACTGACTCAGAATAGGACTCCAAAATTGGTAGTTATCGTTATTTTTGCTAACTGTCTTCTACTTGGGAGGAGACAGAATATCTTCTTATCATCTTCATGGGTTCTAATATTCTGCCCAGAATAGGGGAAACAACTTCCTGAAGAGAAAAATCATCTTTCAAGTAATCGAATTTTTTAAATTATTTGAGACCAAAGTCAAAATCTTTGACTTTGGTCTCAAAGTCAAAGACCAAAGTCGGCCATAGAAGAGACTGTTGGTTATGAGAGGGGTTTTAACTTTCTGGAGTGTAAGAGACAACATCCTTGTCAATTTTAAGTGGCATCCTGTAGTACTTGAAGCAATTTGGTCTCTTTGCAGAACAGCACATAAGACTTGTTTGTTGTTCTGACTGCTGTTTTTGAATCTATGCTCTACCTTGCTTTATAACTCATCTGAGAGATGTTGCTGGCTGAAAATAGCATTGAGTCTGCCCTACTCCTGCCTAGTGGGAGTGGAGAGGAATTGTGTCCTGTACAGGCAAGGCGGTAGTGGCAGTGGGAGGTTTGTCCTGCTGTTTATAAAACTTTATAAATATAGTCCTACACAAATCACCTGGAGGCAGCTCTGAGCTATTTACTGAATAGCAACTGAACTTAAAGTGTCCAATATCCATCCAAAGGGTTGCTTTATTATCAAAGGGGCCACTCCACACAGATTCATAGGAGATCATCAACTGAGAGAGACAGCAAGTTCATTTATTTATGAATTTAATTTTTAATTGTAGAATGGCCTAAATGCTTAACATTCATTCTACAAATTTCACTCAGGGAACTACCCAGAATCTTCTCTGATCCTGACCACACAAACACACCCAGTAGCATCTTTTGCTGTGTTTAATTCTACGGTGTTGTAAGTAATCTACATTGCTATTTCTTCTGCCAGAGTAGGAGCTCCTGGAGAAGGCAGTCTCTCTTTGTATCTTTATATCTACATTGCCCAGCTCATGGTAGGTGTTTAATAAATGTGAGTTAATGAAAGTAAATAGCCTGCTCAACATCAAGCCCAGCATATGCAGTGTTAGAAATGCTTTAGTCACTCATTGCCCCCTACATTTGCTTACTAGAATCTTAAATTTAGAGGAGCTTAAAATGGAGATTGAAAATACTAAGTTCAACCGACAACCATTATGCATGATGGTCCTGAGAGGCGGAGAGGATAAACAAATTATCTAAGTTCATGGCTCTGACCAATAGCTGAGGCAGAACTGGAATTAACTGTCTGACTCTTCATTTAGTGTTTTCAGATGATACGTAATAAATCATTTTAAAACTAGAAAACCGTTTCTCTCAGTGTTAGTGTTTCTGTTGGCTGCCTATGGCAACCAAAGTTCCTGTGGGATTTCATTTCATTTGTGGGAATCCACAGGACCAGCACCCAAATCTCCCCACTGCACTCCTTAAAATACTCCCAGAGATGTTTCAAAAAGAAAATAAAAATTATCCCCAGGCATCCCCTTCTGATTTTTCATGTGGACATTCATTTTTTTGTCAAAATCAATTGAAAACAAAATTTGAACTTAATTCTTTCCTTTTTGGATAATTTTCTCTCAGAATTAGAGTCCACTCACCACTGCCTAAAAGCACTAAAAGCAAACTACGACAATATGTTTGTGATAGATCTTAGAAGTAAGATGTTTTGGTTGACTTTTCCTAAGCTAAAAATGATTTTATCCATCTTACAAACTGAAGGCATAAACATCACTTAAAACTACTATATCAGCTATATTAGGATTTGAATCCTTATACAAATGTGGCAAAAAAATAACTTCTGTTTCCATAGTACTTTTTCACAGACTTTCTGCCTATAAAGAATTTATTTGAGAGAACAAAAAAATGTGGGTCTATTCTCAAAAAACAGCACATGAACTACAAACTCTAAATGGAATTGGCTTATGACAAAATAATAACCAACATCTATATTGAGGGTTTATTATATAAAGCATGGTTCTGATAGCTTCGTTATTAACTCACTTAATGCTTATAACCATTCTATGGGCAAAACTACTGTGCCAACTTTACATAATAATAATAATAACAGATAGCACACCTCACATCTTCTGAGCAACAGCTAGGTATGAAACAATAATTAAGGATTTCGTGTACTTTCTATCATTTAATCCTTGTAGTGCCTATAAAGATTAGTATCATCCTTAAGTGAACAAGGTTAAGTCATTTGCTTAAAGCTGTATAGTTAGTAAATGGTAAGGCTAAGAGGCAAACACACTTCTATCTAATTCAAAGTCCAAGCTCTGTCCATAGGCGGCAACCCCTCTGAAGACAGGCAGAGATTTGTGATTTCTTCCCAATTCTTTTGTAAGAAATTCACAAAATCTCTTCATGCTTACCTTACCAATATCTAAGGTCTGAGGTTCATAAGTTGACTTTGTTATGTTTAGGGATGATATTCAAAATATTTAACAACCAGAACTGCATGAATACCAACAAACCCATCAGCACCACTGGGGCCATAGACCTGGACCAGTGGTCAGTGCGACTCTGGTTTTACTCTTGTGTCATTGGACCTTGGTGGTGTGTGTGGTGGGGGGTATGTCCCAGAGGTGGGACCAAGATGCCAAACAAATAAAGTGGTACCCAGGAGTGTCAGAGTGGTGCCTGCTTACCAACCATGGAAATACTTTAATATTTTAAATAGTGATATATATATAATGAAATGAATATCCAGTAATAAATTTCATAAAAATAAGAAGGAAAAAAGAAATCTTGGCCACATAAACTAATTACAGGAAGTAATGAGAAGTAGTATAACACAGTCTCTGAAGCTAAACTGGATTCAAATCATGGTTTGTCACGTAACTCAGCCTCTGTGCCCCAGTTTTATTCTCTGTAAAATGGGCATGTGGGTGCCATGATAATATTTACCTCATGTGCTTGTACTGAGTATTGAAAAAGACAACCCAAGTAATACCCTTAGGAGAATATTTGGCACCCAGTACATGTCAGCTATAATAGTAAGATCCTTTTAGAGGCATCTTCATACATTTTTTCTTTTATGTGGGAGATTTTAGAATTTCTCATAGTAGTTTGCCACCATCCACCAAGATCTTTCCACTACTGTAATGTTTCCATTCTTAATATTTCCCCTTGGAAAGACTGTGTTCTTTGATCTAATAGTCTTATGGTTGATGACAACTCTTGATACATTAATGGGGGACATTAATGGGGGACAGCAAAGACATAGGTAATCCGAAACAACAGTTAATAAAGATTTATTCCTATTTTTTATGCTTTCTTGGATTTTTTTCCCTTGCATATTAATCCTTACTTCCATTTACCAAATATTTATTGAATGCCCATTGTGGGTTGGGCACAGAGTGTAGTAACATAGAAACCCTGATATTGAGGAAATCAGTTTAGCATGAAAAAAAACCTGCAAATAATTCTTTATAATAGAGCTTATGTAAAGTGGTTGGAGCCAATATCTCTACTTAGGGAGCCATGGGAGGTTTCATGGATGAGGTACACATCCTTGTTAGTGAGCAGGAAGTGAAAGAACATCCCAGGGAGGGGAGCGGCATATGCAAGGGAAAGATGTGGAGGCCAGAAAGGGCATGATGTGTTCAGGGAACAGAGAGGAGTCCCCAGCTGTGACAGAGAATGATGCACTTGGGAAAGTGGAGGGGTGGAGGCTGGACAGGTAAGGACTTCCTTTGCCATTCTAAGGACTCTGGATATAATCCTATAGACAAAGGCTCTTCTCAGGGAGTGACATGCTCACACATTGCTGTGCAAAGATCACAGTGGCTGTGGCAGCAGGGGGCAGGTTGGATCTGAAGGGATGGCAGGAAGAAAGTTAATTTTTCCTTTATGTTTCACTTTTATTGACATTGGATATACATTACCCCTTTGCAGTATGACAGCAGAAATGTGCTGAGTAGCAGAGGGCAGCTGGGTTACAAATCATTCAGTGTGCTGTGGACAGTGGTCTCAATGAGCCAGACCTGTGCTTCTGGAAGGACCCTTCCCCTAAGCAGGGTTTGTGTCCCTAACTTGTGCTCCCATGGCATTTATTTTAACCTCCACAATGCTCTCAGCACACTGAATTGCCCCTTTACATGTTTATCCGCCACTCTGGACTTGGGCCCTTTGAGGCGTAGGATAACGCCTCTTCCTCAGGCCCCAGTGAGGTTTATGAGACACTGGGCATGAAGGGAGGGAGGGCAACAGTACAACCCACAGTGTCTGGGGTAAACTCTCCTTGGCATCCTGTTGTACTTTGGATAGAATCTCAACAAGCCTCCTCCTCCATCCCACTGATGACTTTCACTCCACAACTGCCCCGAGCTCTTGCCTGCCTCCGGGCCCGCCCCACACGCTGCTCCCTCAGTCTCCCTCTTCTCTTTCCTCCACCTGACTTCGAAAGGCTGATTCTTCATGCTGGTGAAAATACCACCCACAAAGGGGGCCCATCGTGACTGTCTTCTGCCGTAGGTTCCCCCACTCCTTCTCTACCATCAGTCTTCATAGCATGTGTTACAATTTGTAGTTATAACTCCTTTTCTTTAACGCACTGTAATTACTTCTTGAAAATTCACAAATCACAATATTTAAGGCTCTGGAAAGTCCTGCAGTTAAAAAAAAAAAAAAACCTTTAAACTTTGTTTAGCTCTGTATTTATCAAGCTTATTGGAGGACAGAAATCTCCGCCTCATTTGTATGTTTTTCAAGAAATGAAAGAAATTGTAGAAAAGTTTGAAGGCTAATGTAATAAATGCCCATATTCCTATCACCCATAATTAAGAGCTGTTAATGCTTTATCACAGTTGCTTGCTGCCAGTGGTTCTTAAGAAATAAAAAATCACAAATAAATCCAAATATCTCTTAATTAAGATCCCCTGAGGCTCATTCCTCTCCCAACTTTCCCAGAGACAATAACCAAAATGAGTTTTGAATGCACACTTCCAAATCTATTTTTATCCTTTTACATACATAGAGTAGTATCCATATACTGCCATCTTTTTTGTGCTCTTAAATTTATGTAAGTAAATATATAATTTTTTCAATCAACATTCTTATTTTTACATCCATCCATGTTGATTTTAACTGGTATAGACCATTATATAAATATACTATAATTTATTTATCTATTTCTTATCTACAGATGGACATTAATGGAGTCATCAAGTTTTTGGCTGACACAAAAGTAGTTATAATAAGCATACCTCTTTGTATAGTATATAAATTGAGAAATGTTTTCATTTTTGTCTTTAAGAAATCTACCTAAGTGGAGCTACACATTTTAGTATATAGCATATACACATTTAAAATTTTACCTTATATTTATTAAATTGTTCTTCAGAGTGGCTTTAGCAGTTTAAACCTGTGTCAACAATATGTGAGAGTATCATTTGTTCCATATCTGTACCAACATCTGCTATTGTCATGCTCCTTATACAACTAGTAGGTGAAAATGGTAACTCATTGTGGTTTCAATTTCTATTTTCCTAATTATCTGTGAAATTGAATTATGTACTCAAACATCACTGTTTTAAGACTTGAGGCCCTTGAGAAGGCTATGTTGGATAGCAAATCCTTTTATGGACTTGTGCCTTGAATAGGCTTCCTTCTCTCAGTATAGGATGTACCTCACACTTGCACAGTCCTTGGCACAGAGAAGGCATCTATTCGTTTTAGCTGAGTGAGTGAATAATGGAAATGTAATAAGTAAAGGGGAGAACGAACAGTTAACAAACTATGTTAATTACTTTTACATTATTTGTTATTTACCGTACATGTTTATGATATATCCATGACTAATGTTACTGGAGATCCACATCTTCCCCCTTTTTATTTATTTATTCTTTTTTTCAGCATATTATGGGGGTACAAATGTTAAGGTTACGTATATTGCCCTTGCCCTCTCTCCCCCCTCCAGTCAGAGCTTCAAGCGTGTCCATCCCCCAGTTGGTACGCATCATATTCATTATGTATGTATATCCCATCCCCTCCCCCCATGTTATTCATATGTGTCCACTTAAGTGTTGATCAGTTAATACCAATTTGCTAGTGAGTACATGTGGTGCTTATTTTTCCATTCTTGGGATACTTCACTTAATAGAATGGGTTCCCCTTTTTTTTTCTTACTCTTTTGCCCAGGCTAGAGTGCAGGGGCATCATCATAGCTCACTGCCACCTCAAACTCCTGAGCTCAAGCGATCCTCCTGCCTTAGCCTCCCAAGTAGCTGGGACTACAGGCTGGCCACTGGATTACAGGGATGAGCCTCCATGCCTGGCCCGGGATCTACGTCTTTTAAAAATATGTTCTTGTTACTTTTCTTCAAACTATGATTAAACAACTTTTGAATAAATTGCTTTGTAGGTAAATAAATGTTTTCTAAAGAGTTAGAAAATAATTGACTTTAATATTGTTTCTCTTATGCATTTGTTTAGCCCTTTGTATTTTTCTCATGGACAATACTTCAGCACCTTTTTCCATATAGTTACAAAATTTTACTGAGGAAGTGTTCCTAATTTAGTCTCTAAACTTAGTTCACAATGCTGAGCTTAGAAGGACATAACCACGTATTTTTGTTGTAAAAAATATCTTTATTTTTCTCCTTTTTACAAACACTATTTATGCGCACTATAACAAAACAAGCACTATAGAAGAGTATTAACAACTTTATTCACTTAATCCAAATATATTTGTTGAGGGCCCACTATATTCCAAGTGCTCTGATAAGGCAGGTAGATATAATGAGATGGATAGGTAGGAAATTAGAAAATCACATTTACTCATTCAAAAACCATTGCTATATATCAGGAACTAAATTATGCCCTAAGGATACCAAAAAGTAAGACACCATGGCTGCTTTTCAGGAATGTACTGCCTGGTAGAAACATAAAGATAAAACAATTTGATCTCTACTGGAGAGAACAGAACACACAGTTTTATGGGATCCCTAGGAAAATTGGAGAATTCTTTGTTGGATAGGGCTGAGGTACCTTAGGACAGGGTGCAAGCCTAGTAAGTCTGATAAAATATGTAATTCCACAACTGAGAAAGGGATAATCAAAACAGATGACACAGATGGTAGTTGAAGACTAACGCGAAAGATCAGAGTCAGAGAGGCAAACCCCACTGAGGGATATTGTGGTGGTCAGAGACTGGAAAGCACATTGTTGGGGGAGATGAGCTTGAGACACATAATAGAAGTGAGTTCGGTCAAAAACTGTGGCCAGCATAAGGGTTACCAAGGCCTGTTTTTATGTGGTATCAGCTGTGGAATGTGGAACCAGGACCGGTCGATTAAAGAAGCCCAGGAGGACCACACAGACTGACAGGAAGAACACATAAAGTCTGTTTCATAAAGAATGAGTAGTGATCTGCCAGGCAGATAAAGTAGGGTGCATTCCTGAGGGAGAGCTAGGTTTGGTCAAGGCACTGGCCACTTCAAAGGTGCTGGAGGTCCAAAAATGTAGTTCCTGCAGAGGGTCGGTAGGGGTGTGTGTAGACTACCTCTGAAGCCAGGGCACAGTGGGAAGTTTAGAGGCTATCAACCGGCTTTCAGAGACAGAGAACATGGTTAGACGTCTGTGTTTTAGTTGTGAGTGGATTGAAAGTTGTACCAGAGGACACTGTGGAAGGTATTAAAACAGCCAGCAAGAAGGGAAGAGGGCCCGAAGCAAGGCAGGATAGAGAGAGGAGAGGCTGAGGAGTTGAGAAACATGTCACTATATAGGGAAAAACCACATGGCAAAGTATTTCCTATTCTTTCCTCTTGAAATAACCAACTGTAGAGAAAACACAAGGAGAGTGGAATTAAACACTTCTTACTCTTTTTTATATAATTTCTTTGTTTTAGAGAATTTAACTAGATTGAAGAGAATATTAAAAGTGCACTGTGAGAAGCATTTTTTTTTTCAATTCCAGCTGAAGGCAAGAAGTGTGTAATCACATGAAAATAAAAACCTAGGACAAAGGTGGGGGGTGTCTGTCCTTATGTTTACAAACAAGAAATTATTTCATAACAAATTGGCATTGATCTTCAATGAGGCTGTGAGCCCGATAACTATTAGGATGCGTCCTGTATATTTTGTTATGTTCCTATTAGAGAACACATACGTTGGTGTGTGTAATGTATTGCTCTACCTTGGGATAAATAAATAAAATGATAAAAGAATAAATTCCAGCTCTTAAAACCTCCATTTCAAGTCCTAACCTGGAAACATTTCCTCCTTCTACAAATATGAATAGAAATATGATCCAATGTCTTGCCTTAGAAACACAATTTAAATTGCCTTTTAAGGAATCATTAATTCCATAATGTGTTCCTGGCCTCAATGAGAAAATAATTTACTTAATCTTTCTTTCCCTGAATCTAGCCTACTTCTCTCTCTAATCTGTTTTGTTTGCCACAAAGGTTTTTCAAAACATGAAATGCCCATATGTGTGTTTTTTTCCTTCCCTTCAGCAGCTGCATTCTCCGCCACATATTTACATGATCTGGTGGCCAGCTCATCAGTCCGTTTCTCTCATGTGGAAATCACTGGAGTCCAAAAGGACTCTCCGGGTGGCACTACGCTAATTATTTGTACGACATTGCTAGAGGAGCCATGCTTGCTCCCGACTCATTTTGAACTTATCAAGAAAGGATGTGGATGACATCAGGGAAGGATTTTACAAGACTCTGTCTAGACTGCCAAAACAATCTGTGGTGGGAGAAAATTGCGTAAATATGGGCTACCAGGAAATAGTCATTTTTCTTCTCCCTTCCTTGTGGTCCTTTTTTGGTGTGGGACAGAGTGCAGCCTGGGCTGGCAATTCTGTAAATTATACTCTTTGAATCATGTAATAATAACTCAAGGACCAGAATGATTTAATGCCATATGGTAAGTGAATGTGGGAATCATCTCAGACCAAATAAACAAATAGAAGAAGCAAGTGACTTTGAGCTTGTTTTAACTTACATGTTTCTTCCAAATTTCTTAGCTTTATCCAAGGTTTTGTGGGCTTTCTAAAAAGACAGACACTCCAAGGATAAATAATAAAGGGACAAGTGATGATCCAGTTTTTCTCCTTTGCATGGAAGACAGCTAGGGTCCAAAGCCAATCCTTGGGTATATATATGCGTCTCTTTCCCTGCACCCTAATACTCAGGACTCTGGCAGACTCCCATATCAATTAAATTGGGGTAAATGTGTCTCAGTTGGCTCCCATGTGCCAAACCATGTGCTGCTTTCCATAATACAAAGATCCATTGGCTTAAGGTGATTATTTGCTTAGATCAGCCCCCAAAAAGCATAACTCAGTTGAGCATAACTCAACTTATGATGGGTTTTCATCATAAGTCTCCTTTTAAATTCTTGCACCTAGGAATGATCACAAATATAGAAATAGATGCACTCCTCAAAGTGTCAAACCTATGCTATGGGTAACATTTGTCTCTATTTTAAACAAAACCTGGAACACAAGAAAAAGATTCAAAATTATATAGAACTGAATCTGAAATCCTAACAAGTGTTGCTTTTTCTTCCTCTATATTTCCCTTTTCTTGGTTCCTAGTTCATCTTTTTTTCCTCATTTCCTATTCCCTGACCACTATATGCCTTCTATGATCATGTT